AACATTTCCCACCTCCAATTTGCAGACAATATAAATCTTTTCCTAGAAGCCGATTTGGAAAACATAACAATTGTGAAAAGGGTTCTAAACTGTTTTGAACTAGTTACTAGGCTGAGGGTTAACTTCACAAAGAGTAGCATAGTGACAATCAATTCAGTTGAAGAAGCTCTTGTGGATAGGTCCAAGGATATTCTGCACTGTCTAGTGGAAAACCTTCCCCTAACCTACTTATTGGGTGGGAACCCAAAAAGCCAAAGTTTTTGGGAGCTAGTGTTGGAAAAATGCGAAAATAAGTGAAACGATGTTACCTATCAAAAGGGGGAAGGCTAACAATCATCAAGACTTCTCTTGCAAACCTGCCCACCTATTTCTTATTAGTGTTCCAAATTCCTAGCAAAATCAGAACACAGATAGAGAAACTTCAAAGAGACTTCCTATGGGATGGTGGAGGGGAGAAAAGAAGTCATCTAGTGAGCTGGGCCCAGACTTGCAAATCAAAAGAGGTGAGAGAGCTGGAAATTGGTCACCTGAAAGAGAAGAACACTTCTCTACTTGGAAAATGGCTGTGGAGATTTCCTAAAGAAACAAACTCCCTTTGGGCGGATGTCATCACCAGTAAGTACAGGTTGGACATCAATGGTTGGGACTGCAATCCTCATTCAAACCGTGTAACTTCATCAATCCCTTGGGAAAGGTATCATCTCAACCTCTAACAAATTCTTTCCTTTCATCAGGTTTAAAGTGGGTAATGGTACTAGAATAAAATTCTGGACTGATCTGTGGTGGGGCAATACTACTCTAGCAGTTTCCTACCCTAGACTTTTTAACCTCACCCTAAACAAAGAAACCACCATCTCCCAATGCCTCCCCTCTTTACCCACTGAGAGCAACATAAACTTGAGTCTTAGAAGACCCTTAAGGGAGTCAGAGATCAATGAGCTAACTGAACTCCTGCTCTCCCTCAGAGAAGTCTACATCTCCCCTAATTCCCTAGACTCCCGTGTCTGGAAACTTCACCCTATAGGCGATCTTTCTTCAAGGTCCTAGTTGCAGAGGAGCAGAATTATCTCTTCACTTTCAAGAAGGTCTGGTGCAACTACATCCCCCATAGAGTGTGTTTCTTTGTATGGGAGCCCTGTCTGCACAGGATAAACACTTGTGAGCTATTGCAGAAGAAAAATTTTGGCAGACTTTCCATCTCCCCACATGTCTGCATCCTTTGCTTGAGAGCAGGGGAATCAACTGACCATCTCCTCATTCACAGCCAGGAAACCAGGGACATCTGGAGCCATTTTCTACAGCTAGCTGGGTACAGATGGGTTGCCCCAGATCACCACCGGGATTTGCTCCATCAATGACAAGGTAAAGGACCGAGTAAAAGAGGTAAGGTTTATTGGCAAATAATTCTGCATGCTGTACTTTGGAGAGTTTGGGAAGAAAGGAACAACCGCTTGTTTGAGAACAAGGCTAAGACGAAGAGTGATCTGATCTCTCACATTACCTTTAAATGTAATCAGTGGGCTTCCAACTCAGACAAGTTTAAAGGAGTCTCTATAAACGACCTAAACAGGGATGCTGGCTTTTTCCTTTTCTCCTCCCTCCCTTCACCCCTCTTCCCCATCAAAAGGGGACCCCCTTACATATGAGGGAATGAACTTGCACCCTAATTTTTTATGGAAGTGCCTCAGGCAACCCTGGAACTTCTGGCATTGGAGGAGTTTTAAGGGATGAAAATGGGAACACTTGCTGGGTTATACAGTGGGCCGATAGGTATAGCTGACTCCACAAAGGCAGAAGTGATGGCTGCACTTATAGGAATCAGACTAATCAACAGACTAGGCATTCAGCATCTATCCATAGAGGGAGACTCAGCAAACACCATAAAGTGGTTAGGAAGACAGGAAGCTGGGCCGTGGAGACTCAGTCATTTTCTGACAGAAGCAAGGGACCTACTGGCAAATACAAACGTTCATCTGTGCTGGACTCCAAGGGATTTTAATGCTCTTGCAGATGGATTAGCAAAATTAGGTGCTCTTTTAGCAAAACAAGATCCCTCCTATGTAATTTTCAAGGGTCTGATCCCCGTCTGTTTGCTTTCTTTGTACACCTTCTTTGTGTACCCATCTTTTTTCTTAATGAATTCAGTTAACTTTTCTCAAAAAAATAAAAAAATAAAAAATCCAAGTAGCCAGAGATCCTCCTCAGCCTCTAGTAGAATGTGTCTCGACAACTCCTTATCCATTTCATATTTGGAAACAACGAAAATCCTACTTTGGAGTGGATTGATCCTTTAACTATAAGGCGTGTCACTGCATAAGGTACTGTAGTTTCTTTAATTTCCATAAACTGAAAGGAGAATTAGTGGCTCAGCATGTAGAGTTGCACTGGTGTTTGGATACATTAATATATACTACAATAAAATTTGAGGAATGCCTCAAATAATTGCATGCTAGTTTTCAACATCAGATATCAAAGCAACTAAGCAAAGCAAGCAAACATCAGATATCAAGGTAAGTTTCTTCAATAAGAACTCAACAATTCATTGACATGCATCAAATTATTAATAGAAAAGAATATCTTAAGTAAAAGTGCCTTTTTTCTGAATTATCTACTCATTTTGTCCCTAATCGCCATCCTAGCTTTCGTAACAGAGGCCTTAGAGAAAAAGGGAAAAGAACTTCTCTGTGATGGACCTAATGGTGAGAGGAAAGGGGAAATGTCAGCACCGGCTTGACACTCATTAGAAGGATGAACAAAGCTTTGTTGGTTTTTAGGATTGAAAAAATGCACTTTAGAGGAGTAATTGTTAGCACATATGGTGCTACAGTAAAATGTTGATATTCCTTCTCTACTTCCATTTTCTATAGTTTTGTTTGGAGAGGCATTTCGGGTTATCTAAAAGAATACAGTTGAAGAATCATTCTCCCACTTGCTACTGTTATGCCCATATTCTCATCATATGTGCTACCATTTTATCAAATTCTTTGAGAAAGAATGGGTTGTGCATCCCGACATTAAGACATCAATTCAGACTTGGCCAACCGGAGGCTTTTCTAGAAGAGGAAGAATCCTGTGGAATCTCACCCTTCTACAATTTATTTGACTAATTGGAAGGAGAGGAACCTTAGAATATTTGAGCATAAAACCAAGTCATTAAAGAGGAATATTGGGAGGATCGAGAGGCTAATTTATTTCTACTAACCGACAAGAAAGTAGAATCAAATTGAATTGTGAATTGTATCGTAAATCGTAAGATTATTTCTATTTTTTTCAAACTTGTCAAAAGATTAAATATAGATATGCTAAAAGGAAAAATATATATAGAAAAGTAATTCTACCCTACTTCCAATCCACATCTACCATATGTACCTAAAACAATAGAAGGTCTAAGATGATATAATCAAGATTGACTTGAAAGTCAAATAATCTCAATATATGATCCAACTTACATAATAAATTAATTTCTAATTAGGTCTTTAAACAAGCTACCCTTGACAAAACTAAGTATAAACAAAACAAAATTACAAAATTGAAATTGATTTAAATCACAATGAATCACAGGAAATGTATCAATCGTAAGATTTATAAATCAAATCGTAGGATTCAAACAAAAATTGTAAGATTTTTGTCGAAAAGGATTCAGACATAAGATTTGAATTGAAACCCTTTGGATTCATGATTAAAATTGCGAGTTGTATAGTTTTTATTTTTTATTTTTTTGAAAGGTGAAGTAAGAAGATTTATTGATGAAGGAAAATTACAGTACAACAGCAACCTGGCGAGAAAACACCAGGAAAGATACTACATTACAAGTCTCAAATGGAGTGGGGATCCAGGAGCTGAAAGACATTCTGAAATTACAGATAGCCAAGAAACAAGCCTATTAACTGCCAACTTGAGCAGATCTTCAGGAATCAAGAGCTCTAGTTCTGTTGCAGAAGACACGACTGTTCCTTTCAGACCAGACTGTGACCAGGACAGCTGCAGGAATTGTTTTCCAGACCAACTTCCCTTTCTTGCTCAGATCAGGAAGCTTCCAACTACATAAGATTCTATACAATGTTGCTCAGACCAGGAAGCTTCCAACTACAGCCAATGTTGTATCGTGAATCATAAGATTTTGACAACATTGGATTAAAGACCATTACCCAATGTTGGTCTCAGTAATCTGGGGTCTTGGGAGGAGTGGACTGAATATGGTGGTCCTAAACTTTGGTATTTTTGGCACAAAGTGGCCACTCTTAGACTTGAACCTATGTTCTCACACTTGACAGACCAAGATTTTACCATTACACGAATTAATGGCCCCTCATTCCAGGATAAAGATATTGTATAGAATTATGGTCCGTATACATTGTTCACGAGTCATCCAGTACAGTCCCCTTTCGGTGAAATATAATAAAATACTCACTTTCTTGCCCAAAAAAAATTATGCCATTTGTCCATATCAACATATCTTTTGTTTCTCCCCCTTTGTTTATGAGTATGCATGTGGCTTTTGGTTGGGGGATGGGGGACACTGGGCATCTCTTTTGGCCTCTTCAATATCCTTGGGGGACATGTTCAGAAACAGTTTAAGATGACAAATGAAACAGGGATTCTTCACCCTGATTGTGATCTCCTCTAACAGTACAACTTATCTATATATGTAGCATTTGAGTTTGTGTACTTAAATCAGATGAGAATTGAATATTTAAATAAAATGTGGATGTTTAGAACTAAATTAAGTGTGTATTCATCCCTTATAATCAATGCCTAAAAATAGTGAAGAAAATATTTAATTCTACTTTTTATCGAAAAATTGTAATTGTTCTTGTCAACAGTTTTAATATGAAATGTAAATCAGACTACAACCCTCTAGTGGAAAATACAGAGGTAAAAACCAAACAGATTAACAGAATATATTAAATATATACCATTAATTTTTAACTAGCATTTTTTTATCCTTGCCCAAGATTTTCAAGAAAAAAAATGGTATTGCAGGAATTTAAAGATCCAACCTGATGAGTGAGGAAGTGATCTGGGTGGTTAACCAGAAAAAAATGTTCAACAAGTTCACTAACTGATTCATCAGGATCTGGGGGCACGTTTCTTACAAGGACCTGCAATTGATCATATATTTTGTTAGTTAAAGGTGTCACCTTATTATATGGAAATGACTATTTCTATCTGTGGCTGCTCTAGAAAACATAAATTGGAATAACTGAAACTTAAACATTAATAGCTTGTTATCACACATAAACATCTCAAGCACTTACTCTAACTAAAAATAGTTCTGCATTCATGATTAAACCAAGTAACAAATTGAAGGACGCAGTAATGCTGACATCCCCCATGCTGTACAAGTGGTTTCAGGAACTGTACGAAAGCACCTCATGGGATAGCCAAAAATACAGTGTGGCTTTGTGATTGCAGTACCTTGGAAAAAGATCTGCTTGCAGGAAATGGTTTGGCATCTGTTGTTAGGAATGTTATTAGAGCTGTTAATGGGTCATTAGTGGGCCTGTTTTATGTGTTTTTTCTGTTAAGTTTTAATCAGGGATATTCTGGTAATATCCTCTCTTATTTGAACACCCTAATATATAAGTCAAGTGGGGCGGCACCCCATCACTTTTTGGCAATCCTTTCCCTTTTCTCTGCTCTCTTCTTCTCTTTTCTTCTTCTTTTCTATTCAAGAGCATCAAAATTAGAGATGATTTGAGGTTGGTGGAAATATTTTTCTGCTTCTCTTTTCCACCCAGTCTATAAGTTGTTTGTATGGAGGCTGAAACTGTTCTGCTGCTAGAATCATGTTCTGTTGACTGTACCTTGTGCTTTTGTTCCAGAAGGGAATACAGATTACAGTATGCAGTAACACATTGTGCCATGGTACAGGTTTCAGTTTCATTTGTGTGGTAAAAGGGTTCCTACCATTGGTCACTTAAAAATTTGACTATTCATTAAGTGTTGCAGATGACATTCAAAGGCCTGAATAAACTTCAGACTACAAATTAATGTGACACAGATGAATTTGGGCCTAAATGAAATAGATCCTAGGATCTGTCACCTGATGAAGGTCATCTTGTGTGTTGTCAAAGTATTACTAGAACCGATTATAGACTCCATGCAGACTAATAATAGCAGTAGATGAGCTTAGTCTAATTGAGGCAGTCATGAATGAAAAGAATCACTCTTTCAATATATAATAAAACAACTATACCAGAAAGAGTGAATAAAAGACAAAATTACTTAAAACTGCCTTGTAATTTCTGATAAATATTTAAACCTTCCCTCTACTTTTTTCAGTTCAAAAAAGGTCTCCCCTGTACTTTGATCTTCCACAAAAACCTCCCTTCACATTTCAAATGAATATGCAGGTGCCCCTTTCATTAATTGTCCTGATGGAATTTCAACAGCTGATTCACTTTACTTAAGTGGGTTTCATTGTTCACTTCATCAAGTGAACAGCAAATGATTAGTTGGGCTAAATTTAAACCTCCCTCATTAGTCGGAATTTCAACATCTCCATTAGAAGATACTTCATGGAAGGGGAGCAGGGGTTAAAGTTTTTATTAGAAATTAGAAAACAAGGGAAGCTTAAGTAATTCTCCTATGAATAAAATACACGAAGTTACAGGAGAGGAATCCCACTCAAGAGAACTGAAGAATATACAACAAAGAATTCCACTCAAAAGGAGGCTATAATAGAATGGCTCATTGGAATAATTGTCCATCCTCAACTCTTTCTCCATGGATGACGTAGTGGGGGGGATGGCTATGTGTATCAAATTCCACCTTAGCAAGGACTGTAACACCTTATTCTTGAAAGCTTCCCAACATGCATCAAATTAAACTACAATGGGAGTAGTGCAAGGAACCGAGGAAGGTCTGACATTGGTGAGATGTTCAGAGATTGGAATGGAGTGATTTTGGCTTTATATTCAGATCAAGGACACTCATTAAGGGTTGGATTGTTTGTGTTACACCAAGGTTAAAGCTTGAAAAGTAACGAGATATTCTGGTGGAAGGTGATTCTTGTATTACTGTGGGATGCTTGTTAAATAACAGCCTAGGTCCATAGCAGTACAGACATACTTTGAGAGAAGTTAGGAAACTATAACACGAATTGAAGACTTATTTTCAATGGACATCAAGAGAGGCAAACAGTAAGGTAGATGCCTAAGCCAAACAAAGGGTGAACAGGAATCAAATGTATTATGGGGATGACTAGATCTGATCTCTAGTTATTCTGTAAATACAATTATACAAATGGATGTAGATGGGAATGGTAGCTGAGGCTACCTAGGGACAATGGGATTCATGGAACATGATCATTGGATATATCACATTTTTTATCATAAGTGGATGGTTACCAATAGGAAAGAAGTTACATGAAGAGGAAGAAGAAAATTAGAGCCATTCAAAAGACCTTGTATCTTTATCCACTCCTTACAAGACTTGGAAAGGTTATCCTAGACCTGGGGGTTGAACATGGGCAAGATGTTATGGTCCTGAGGATTAAACAGCTTGGCTTGACGTGTTCCAACAGTCTTAAGGCTTTTGGCATATTGGTCAAGTACATAGCAACTGGTATAAGAGCCTACCACCACATCTCAAGAGCTGTCACAGAAAGGACTACCTGGAGCAGAGTGAAAAGTGCTAGAGGGAAAGGGCTACCTGCTGGCAAAGTGAGAGCCATCATGGAGAGGACTACGTGCCACTAGAGTGAAAGCAGCCCAAAGTGAAACCGCCAGGAGATCAGCTGCGGAAGTGTGATGGTATGTTGCAGTCCTAAAGGTTATGGCTTGGCTAGACACATTCCAACAGTCTTTAAGGTTGTTGCCATATTGGTCAAGTACGTAACACAAGGTTTGGGCCAGGCCATGATAAGCCTGACCAATTAAATAAATAGACCGAAAAGTTAAGCCCATCTCTGTCCTATATGCAGGTCTACCTCAAGACTTGGAAGTTTACCTTTAAGCCTGGGGTTTGAAGATGTGATCAGTTTGGGCCAGGCCATGTTAAGACTAACTCTCAGCTCTACGTTATGAACTGGATATAGCCTGTTTAAGGCTATAGACAATACATTATGTTTAATATAAACTACGTTCTTCTATAAATGTATCTATACTACTAATAAAAGAGCGAATAGCCCCATTTTCTCCTACACTAAAACCTTCCAAAAAGCCCCCATTTACTGCCTTCCAAGTTAATTTCTCTAAAACTTCCATCACACATAGAAATAGCAAAGGAGATAAGGGGTCTCCCTGCCTTAAACCCCTTCAGCTCCTAAGGTGACCACATGCCCTCCCATTAACCAAGACATAAAAGGATGGGGTAGTGATGCATACTTTCATCCAATTCCTCCATTTGGAGCTGAAGTTCATTTTTAATGCGTACTGCTTTATTTAAGTTCTTTTGTAAGGCCATATTTACCTGATTTATTGCTCTTGCTTAGTTATAATTCCGGTTTACTTAAGTCCTTTTATATAATAAGGCCATAATTCTTAGATGATCTGGTTTAATAGGGATAGGAGACAAAATTTTATTTGATTTGTTATTAAAGGGCATGAGATGGCTTTCTAATTTAAATTGGGAAGCAACACGAATTTAGAGCTAGAGTAAGACCTAGGACACTCTACATGCACTTTTATTTTGAATTAAAATTCATTTAACCTCTTTTTTCCTGAGTGGGCTCTCAAATTTAAGCCTTTTATACAAGTGTTCTCACACTTGTTAGTCCAAGTGCCATTAAACCATTACCAAAGTACTAGGTTAATAATACCAATACTATAACTCTTCTTTTAGTCTAACCAAATAGAAATTCTTTTATCTCATCTAACTGCTTCCCTATTTATTAGTTTCTGCAGATTGACATGAACCGACTTGTGAATTGATTCACATTGAACAGGCTCACAAGTCAAAAGCATTAGCTATGACTTCGGTAACTATGTGAATACAAACCAAAATTAAGGAAAATGCCCTCATGGGATCATGATTAGTATGTAATGCAGATCAGTCTGCTCATTGTTTGCTAGATCTCCAGCTATTGAATCAATACAGAACATGGTAGAATACAAATCAAAATTAAGGTTATGTCCTCATGGAGTCATGATTAGTAAGTAATGCAGGTCAAATCAGTCTTACTCATTCCTTGCTAGACTTCCAGCTATTGAATAACATAGTTAAAAGCAGAGGGTCTTTTAGCATCATTCAACAAATGGCTTGTTGGAGGATTCCTTTATATTTTTTTTTTCTTTGTGTGTGTGTTGGCGGGGGGGAGCTGGTTTTAGGAATCCAGAAAGATTTTTTTTTTTTTGTAAGCCTTAGGAATCCAGAATGATCCCTAAGAATGTAGAGGAGAATCAACTCACCATAGGGAATTTTTAGTAAAATTTCAATCTGTAAGCCTAGACAGGCTGGGGGTGTGGGGATCAGGCCATTTAAACAGGTCAACACTTCTCTTCTTGCCAAATGGTTTTGGAGGTTTGCCAAATGATATGAAGGAACTTAATCAAATCTTATATGGGGAGATTGGCTTTGGCTGGGAATCAGGGTTCTTCCACTGGAATTTATGGAACAACCCTGTGGAAGGAGCTGTTGAGAAGCAGGGTCACTTTCTTTAATTTTGTTTCCTCCAATCCTGGTTCAGGTGACAGAATCTTGTTCTGGAAGGATGGATGGTGTGGTGACARATCACTCTGTGTGGCTTTTCCTGCAATTTTTGTTTTGGCTCAAGATATGAAGGCTCACGTTTCTGATTGCTTTGAGTTGGTCAATGAACAATGGATTCCCTGCCTCAGAAGGAATGCTAATGATTGCAACCTTGGTGAGTTGGCTTCTCCCCTACAATCCTTGGAACAAGTTAAACCTCATCCTTCTAGAACATGGTAGAATACAAATCAAAATTAAGGTTATGTCCTCATGGAGTCATGATTAGTAAGTAATGCAGGTCAAATCAGTCTTACCCATTCCTTGCTAGACTTCCAGCTATTGAATTAATACAGAACATAGTTAAAAGCAGAGGGTCTTTTAGCATCCTTCAACAAATGGCTTGTTGGAGGATTCCTTTATATATTTTTTTTTTCTTTCTGTGTGTGTGTT